TTTTTATATTTCCATACGAGAGCAAGAAGTGACTAATGTATAGACTATAGCTAGTAAGAAATTTTTCACGGAATATTCTGACTTGCTAGCGGTACTTCAGTACTTCTTGCTACCAAACTCAAAATCGCGAATTTGGAATTGCCGTCTTTGTCTGCCTGTCTGTCTGTCTGTCTGTCTGTCTGTCTGTCTGTTTGTCTGTCTGTCTGCCTGTCTCAACTGTCTACGAAAAATTTTTTTCTATGATTTTCAAAGCATTTCAAGGCTGTTTGGAAAAGATAGTTTTTTGGCCCCCCTAAAGAAGATAAAACTTTCTCCGTTCGCTTACTATCTTAAAATGGGCTAGGGAACATATTCCCAAAAAATCGCAATCAAAAATATGCAAGAATGTCAAAAATGGGCTTAGTCCCAGCACATCTGGCTGCTGGGAGTAAAATGGGCTTATCAGAAAGGTGAGAGAGAATGAACATGGAGGTGGACTCCATTTTGCCCCATTCTAAAATGGACTTTTGACGTCATCTTCCGCGAGCGATAGCTCAAGTAAGCTTGAATCATTTTCATTTCACCGCTTTGTCTCGCGGTTGCGATGGGATGAAAAATTTTGGATATCGTAAGCGGGAGCCGATTTCGACCACTTTCTAACGCGAACGAATAAAATGGACTAAGTAAGTCCATTTTCCTCCATTATGAACTTTCGTGGATATGAGTCCAGGAATGATATCCACAAAAGTCCCCGCGAAATGGGCTTTTCGTGCGAATAAAATGGACTTAGTCCATGCGGTGCGATAAGATATCGCATTCGCGAACACATTCATTCCATACAAAAATGCTTCAACTAACCTTTCTCCAACTTGTCTCAACCTGTTTGCTCACTCTTGCAAACTCATTTCCACCAAGTGGTCGATATCTAACTAGGCTGACCTAACATTACAATGTCACTCAAGTGGCTATTCTATTCTTTCCTACATCGTTACACCTAACAGAATGCCATTCGTTATCGATGACTATGCATCTAAATCACTTCCAAGACTAAAATTCATGTCATATCCGGGCCTTCGCTTCAAAACTTCTACGAATCAGCATTAAATCGAATTCGTATGTGGAGATTTCTGCAAAAAGCAAACCTTGGCTGGAGTTGCACTGCAATCAGTGAATCAAAATGCTCCTTATAAGTAACCTTTACTACACTACAACTCAGAGGGTTTTTCAAGTCGCAAAAACTTTGAATCCCAAAAGACGACTTCGCAAGCGGTCTATATCAGCTTTTCTTTGTCTTTCAGCGAGTTGAATGTATGGACTAATCTAGTAAGAAATTCTTTACGGAATTTCTTTAGCTAGCTAGCGGCACTTCAGTAATTCTTGCGAACCAAACTCAAAATTGCGTTTAGAATGCCGTCTCTGAGGTTCGGTTCTACGAAATTAGCCAAAGATAGCTTCAAAGTAATCACATTGAAGCACAATTTTTTTCAAATTTTAGATTACAAATCATGAATTTTGTTTTGGTTGATGATTTGAAGAGTTAACAAACTTTGTTTGTTTTACATAAGAATTTTCTGATTGACCTGATATTAAGAAGCATTTGGGTTTATTAGCGAATATTTGAGTGAATTTGATCTTTTACTATGTTTTTATAGCGTTTCTATGAGTTTAGAAAGAAACACTTATTTCAGAGTTCATAAAAGACATGAAACTTTTTCCACCCACCTATTATCTTAGGATAGGATGAGGAACACATTCCCAAAAAATCGCAATCAAAAATATGCAAAAAGGTCAAAAATGGGCTTAGTCCCAGCTCACCTTGCTGCTGGGAGTAAAATGGGCTTTCAAGTCCATTTAAAATGGAGGTAAATCCCATTTTGCCCCATTCTAAATGGACTTTTCACGTCATCATTTCGCAAGCGAGAGCTCAGGTAGGGTTAAATCATTTTCATTTCACCGCTTTGCCTCGTGGTTGCGATGGGATGAAAATTTTTGGATAACGCGAGCGAAAGCAGATTCCGACCACTCTCCACCGCGAACGAATAAAATGGGGCTTGAAAGTCCATTTTCCTCCATTATGGACTTTCGTGGATATCATTCCAGATTATGCGGCGACGAAATATAAGTGCGATACATGAACTAACACGGATGTGCTGAGAAACGCCGAGAGAGTACTGGGGAGCGCATGCACTCTAGGAGGATCCACATAGTTTGCATAACAGCGACGTAGAGTTGACGGCGTTCTTAGTAGCTTCCAGACTGTATGCACTTTAAGTGCAAATTCTAGAGCTTGCTCCGCATGGAAAGTGCAAATATGGGCAACAGTCGTCAAAGATCACCTCCTCATTCATAAACAAGCAAAGAAGCGATCAAGTGCGTGTCATGTACAGAGCCAAACAACAACGAAATATTGATTCCACTACCGAATTAGTGCAAATGTCTGACCCCCAGTTGCTATCATAATTTGGAAACCTGTCGCCCATTTTGCTTCCTATTAGGCCTAACTTCTTACAATCATTATTTTTCGAAAAGCACATTATGATTTTGAACATTATGAAGGTTAGGGTAAAATATAACCTATCAATTTTACGGGGAGTTACTTTTTGAAAATACTGCTTTTGCCTCTGGAAATAGAAAAAACAGAGGGAGCTACGTCTCGTTGGAAGAAAAGAATCAGTCGATTCATGCGGTAGTACATTTTTCTAAATTTCTAGGAACATTTGCTAAATTTCTAGGATTAAATGCTGAATCTCACAAAAACCTGTAAAATACTTACTTTTGGATGCTTTTACACTGTGTAAATATTGTTGTTGCCTCTGAAAACAAATGAGCAGAGGGAGCTCGGTCTGCTGGAGAAAGACCCAACGTATCCACTCGAAAACACATTTCTTCCAACTAGATTTTAATGTGAAAATTCACAGAAACATGCTGCATTTGTTTTTGGCGGCCTCTACTTTGTGAAATCCCTACTTTTGCCAATAAAAACACAGCAGAGGGAGCTTGTCTTAATGGAAGAAAAGACCTAGTGTTCATGCAGCAGTACATATTTGATATAATCCCTAGGTTTCAGTGCTGAATGTCACAAGAAGGGCTTGAAATTCAGTTTGGCCGCTTTTATCTTGCGAAAAACGTACTTCTGCTTCAAAAAGCATAAGTCTCGAAGAAAGGAAAGCTTCAAGGACTTTATTCGGCAGCGCAATTAGGCTGAGGACTTTTCAGTTTCAACGCTAAATCATGCAGAAGCTCGCTTGAAATTCACTCTTGAATACCCAGAGGGCTCATGCGACAGGACATTTTTGCTAGGATTGTCCAAGAAAAAGCTTTGAGCGAACTTTGGTCTCGCTTTAAGAAATGACCGTTTCTTGGCGAGACGTAATAAGGAGAGTGTAGGACTGTGCATGATCGCGAAGCTCGGTGTGTTAGCGGCCGTTTCACAGTTTCTGACTGTCAGGCTGAGTTTCGGGTTGAATCAGCTGTTCTACATAGATGACTGCTGAGGTGGTCTTCATGTTTAGTAGCTGTGGTATCTGGGTAGGGTAGTTGCAAGAAGAACAGCGTAGATGATTTGAGAGTTCCTCACTTTGAAAAGTTTCCTTGAGAGCATAATCTTACTTCTACTACTACGTACCTACGTTGCGCCAAGCGTTGAGAAAATGGAAATGATCTTGAAATAAAACTTTGAAATGAGCCTGATCTTGCTTCTAATACTACTTGCATTGCGAAAAAGATCGGTGAGAAAATGGGAATTCATTCTCTTGCTATTTTTAGTTGCGCAGACAGTTATCAATGTATCTGCCCCAACCCACTTGCTAGCGACCCGTAGGGTAGCCTATTCAAATAAATCGAATACTTCCAGGACAACCTAGTGCATGACATATATGGAGTTTCGTTTATCTAAAAGACTTTGACTCAGAATGCCTGATTCCAAAAAG